TGCAAAGATTAAATAGTATTAGTAGCTGAATCTATGTGGAAAAAATTAAATGCCTTTTTCCCCAATGGCTACAGACCTGTGCTTCCAATATTATATTCAAAATTGAACCCAACCTTACTTTCATAGCTTCCTCCAAAAGCAGCTGTTTTCTATGCATCCATGCTAGAAGAAATGAAGCTTAAAGCTTCATATTGAATGTACAGCATGAGTAACAACTAAATGACAGGGATAATAAATACTGACAGATAATTTTTTCAAGAATGCTTTTGGAGATAAAGTACTGATCAAAACGCCCTAAGAGTATAAACCCGGACTAACAAGCTTACAGAATCACTGCAGAGTAATGTTTTCTGCTTTTAGAGCTTCCACAGCCCTTTTTCAAGTTTCCACTATAGTGAAAGCAGTATTGTTAGATTTCACAAGGGAATGGAAACATTTATACATGATGCTTTTTGGACTACCTATAAAAGATAGTACTATATGCATCTTACATGTTTTCAAAAAGTGTAATGGCACTCAGTTTCTTAATTATGCAAATACAAATATCTTGACAATATAAGTAACCTCATATCTATTAGTTGAACATTCATCTAACCAGAAATCTACTGTTCTGGCAACAAAACTACCTTAAAAGATTTCTGGACAGGCGTGGTGGCTCATGCCTGTAATCCCCACACTTTGGGAGGGCAAGGCAGGCGGATCACGAGGTCAGGAGATGGAGACCATCCTGGCCAATATGAAACCTATCTCTACCAAAATACAAAAAATTAGCTGGGCGTGGTAGTGCGCCGGTAGTCCCAGCTACTCGGGAGGCCGAGGCAGGAGAATTGCTTGAATCTGGGAAGCGGAGGTTGCAGTGAACCAAGATTGTGCCACTGCACTCAAGCCTGGTGACAGTACGAGACTCCATCTTAAAAAAAACAAAACAAAACAAAAAAAGATTTCTGACCCAACTGCAGAACTTTTTACTCATTCAAAAACATGTTTGGGCTGGTGTAAGGTGGCTCATGCCTGTAATCCCAGCACTTTGGGAGGCCGAGGCAGGTGGATCACCTGAGGTCAGGAGTTCCAAGACCAGCCTGGCCAACATGGTGAAACCCCGTCCCTACTAAAAATACAAAAAGTAGCCAGGCATGGTGGCGTGCATCTGTAATCCCAGCTACCAGGGAGGCTGAGGCAAGACAATCACTTGAACCCAGGAGGCAGGGGTTGCAGTGAGCCGAGATCATGCCACTGCACTCCTGCCTGGGACACAGAGCAAGACTCTGTCTCAAAAAAAAGAAACAAAAAAAAAGTTTGGCCCCACAGGTAAAAAATCAAGTTTTTTTTTCTTGTGACACATACAATTTAAAATTTTACACACATTTTTGTTTCACCTTTTCGTTGGGTTCAAAAAAGCGAAAAACTTAAACTGATCAAAGCATGGTTTATGTTCAAGATAATTCCCTACATTAACAGTACCACTTAGAAAAGTGTACGAAATTCAACTAACATAAAAATACTTGGTATTCCTGTTTTTAATTAAACAAACATGTCTGTGAAGTACTTCTGTAAATGTTTTAAAAGTAGAAGAATCATATTAGCTCCAAACATATTAAGTATATATAAAAGTACAGAGAACCTTTAATACCTACAAAGTATTTAATAACATTCGGCTCTTAAGGACAGAACAAGTATAAGAATAGTATTCCAAAACAACCCAATGTAACCATATCAAACATTATGCAATTTTTTTCTCCAAACCAATTCTCATTATGGTTAATATAGAATTCCAAATTAACACAAACTATGGAATATCTTTTTTAAAGGTGATAATTTAAAATTTTATTCTAAACCCAACAACTCTGTTACACTGTCAAAATGTTATAAAGTTTTCGTTGGCTACTTTACCTGGGCTCCTTCTCCATGGTATAAGCAATTCACCACATTATCTAATAAGTTGATATCCAGTTTTTGGCTGAAATCGAGCAGCTGACGAGCTGCATGGTCTGCTAACATTGTCATAATTGCTGGCATAGATTACTGAAAATAAAGAAAAAACATTGAAGCTGCCTATGAAGTTTTGGAATTATCAAAAACTTCCTACAAGTTATTTTACTTCAACCATGTTATTACAAATATTTTAATGAATACTTTAGAGACTTTAATTACAAAAAACAGATAGTAAAAGCAAGTAACATAAGCTGAAATTACTTAGCTATTTGATAATTACATAAATTATTATGGTCCATTCAACTTTTCTAGTGTTTTGTTTATACACCAGAAAGACTCTCCTATTCTACTAACATTTATAAAGTATGCTAACCTATTATTTAAATGCATCCACTATTAGGATTTTATGGTCCTAAAACATGATACAGTTCAGTATCTTGATGTCCAAACTTCTTAAGCAAGTAGGATTAAGTTCAAGTAAACGTGTTTTTCTTTTCTTCCCAACTAGGGTCTTCTGGATAACTCAGTAAAAGCTCACTTCACATTATCTTAACTTCATAAAAATAATTCTATAAAGACAGAATGGGCTGAGCGCAGTGGCTCACACCTGTAATCCCAGCACTTTGGGAGGCCGAGGTGGGCGGATCACTTGAGGTCAAGAGTTCCAGACCAGCCTGGCCAACAATGGCAAAACCCCATCTCTACTAAAAATAGAAAAATTAGTCAGGCGTGGAGGCAGGCGCCTGTAATCCCAGCTACTCAGGAGGCTGAGGCAGGAGAACTGCTTGAACCCAGGAGATGGAGGTTGCAGTGAGCCAAGATGCGTCACCCCACTCCAGCCTGGGCAACAGAATTGAGACTCCATCTCAAAAAACAAACAAACAAAAAAAGACAGAATGACGTTAAAAATCAAAATGTGGATATACAGTAATTCCTATCGTCTACAGCAATGGTTAGCAGGAACCACAAGTCTAACATATCTTGCTATAAATGCCCTTAGCCTCTACAGAAATAACTTAGTTTCTACACTCAAACCATTCAAATTGTTTCAACCCTCAATGAATTGGGGGATTGAAATTACATCTACAAACATATTTACTGAATATATAATCTAGGAAAAAAAACTTTACGGGAAATATGCCTAACAAGATTCATTGGCAAGTTAAAAGCTGTAAAAGCCTGCCCATTCCCAAATAAAAAAGAATTCTAAGAGAAAAATGAGCTACTTCGCCAAAATATGTACTGGTTAAAACCTACTAGTTCATATGCAACGCTATCCTTTTAAGAGGATTCTACTCTAAGATGCTGGCACACATCCAACTTTTTGTTGCCCAGAATTATAAAAAATATATTTCCTCTGCTTTTCTTCAAAGCCAATGCCACTCAAACCTAACTGGTTAAGTCAGTAGTCCTTAACCTTTTTTGGGGTCTAAGATACCTGAGACTCTGAGGAACCAATAGCTCTAACCTAGTTTTTAAAAACTCATGATTTTGTATACAATTGTAGAGGATTCAGGACATCCTGAAAGCCATCCATGGCACCCCCGGTTTAGTGTATTTAGAACTAACAAGGTCAGATCTCCGCTTCTTCCCATTTTAGGAACTTTCGTGGACCAGAAAATGAGTAGCTAATTTCTTTACACTGTATTTGGACAAACTAGCTTGGCAGGCGGGAAAAAAAGGCGTTAATTCCTGGCTATTTTATAACAGCTTAAAAATGTCCATAACAATAATGGCAGCAATTTCAATTTTAATGCAAATGTCTTATTTAAATATAACGTCTGTTACAACAGATTAGAACTCCAAAAAATGAGTCACCTATGACTGACATGATGTAAAAATAATGTGAAACTCAAGAAATTAGGAGTTCAAGAATTGGTCCATTATTGACAAAACTGATGAGACTTCAAAATATTTTGTAGTAGGCATTAAACAAACTTTTTTAAACAGCAGGATACTTGTTACACACCACAAAAAAAACCCTTAAGATCTAAAAACTGAGAGGAAATATATATTCCACAAATGAATGTGTAAACTCTCCACCTTCAACTACTATAAAATTTAAAAGATCAGAACAATCTTAATTATTTGAGGCTTAAAAGCAATGTCCACAAAGCATCAAGATCTACGTATCAGAAGTTTTCAAATATTTCGGTTAATTATTGAACAAACTTTTCACCTATTTACTCCTACAATAGTTTAATGCCAAAACAAAAAAGGATTAAGAAAATGACTCTTCCAAGTTTCACTTTCAAATACACTGTCCTTATAGAATTCTCCGAACTAGACTGATGTGAAAAACGAGATTTAGAATAGAAGGATTTAAATACAGTAGTTTGCCATCCTTAGAACTAGCGGCTGTCTTCGAAATGACCTACCTATTCTTGAACTGTACATAGTACAGAAATGGCGGCTTTGTGGTCAATGCCAAGCACATTTAGTCCCCCAAATCAAGCCGCTTCCAAAACATTCTTTCCACTAACAGCAGTGTCCCACACTTAAGATATACAATCAGACAGCAAACAAGTCAAAGAGGGAGAGGTGTAACCACGAACGCTCATTTCCGTTGGGCTCTTCAATCCTAAAATCCACTCACTGGATAACATACACTAGAGATTATCCAGCTTAATGGATAATGTTGTGACTCTACAAGTGACCCCCAATGCCAGTTCCTATCCAAAACCCAGGAAATCATAACCGTTGCTTAATAACTTCACACTAGGTGAAAAAAAAAAAAACAAGTCGCTACAAGGCGAAAGACTGACTGCTCCTTAGGTGTGTGGGCAACCGCCTGCTTCATTCAGGAGAAACACACCTCACTAGGGCCCGCCCTCCCCTGGCTTCCCACCCGAACCGATTTGCAGCCCTTCTAACTATAGCACACGGGAGCACGCACTCACCCCGCCCATACTCGGAGGAGGCATTTAGACCAGGCGCCTTAAGTTCAACGCCCCTTTCTCTATGCAGCATGGCCTCGGCGTGATCAGAGGCGGTCCGGGCTGAGCCAGTACTGAATGCTTCCTCTACTACACCACTTCCTCCCACCCAACCCAAACTCAGACATCGGAATGAAGGAGAATCAGGGCATCCTCCACTGTACGAGGCCAGCAGTAAATGGTTTAACCAACTTATCACACTCAAACCCCTGAAAAGGAACTACAAGACGGAATCCCATGTGCAGGCCCCTGAAAAATTCATCTTTCCTACTTCACATGCCACTCTGCAAAAAACCGGAGAGCTTTCGAGTTTCCTTGCTGGAGGAACAGGGAGTCGGCAGCCCCTCCCTCCCCCATCCCAAGCTCTCCACCGAGGGGGCCACGTGATGCAGGCGGACGTTTCAATGCTGCTGCACTAAATATTTCTGGAAACTTCCACTCCTAATAATTTACAGAGATGTTCCTGAAATCACCCCAACTTCTCCCCAGCCCGTGGGGCTGGGGAAGCCCTTCCACCCCGCGCGGGGCCCCGCTTCACTATCACGCTCCTCGCCTTCCTCCACCGCCACCCGCACACGCGAATGACCCAGCAAGCGCTCCCCTCCCGCGGCCGCCTCCCCGCCTCCATCCCCCAGCGGCAAAAGCGGCTCCATTCAATCGCAGGCTCCGCTGTGGGCCCGGCGCGCCCCCGGCCCGCCCGCCGCCTCCTGGGCTCGCTTCCCGCGACCGCCGCGCCCCACGCTGGCCTCCTCCCGCCCGGCCGCGCCGCCGCCCGACCCTCGGCCCCAAAGACACAGTCGACTTACCCAGAGATTGAACCAACTGCTCCTTCCTTCCTTGTCGGGGGATTAGGGCCAGGGAAGGTGGGGAGGGGGAGAGGGGACGAATCAAGGTGGGTTTCACAGTTTTCCCACCTTAAAAAAGGAAATTAAAAAAACGGAGAGGAAAAGGGCAAAAAGAGCTCAATAATATTTACTATTTCAGGGACGCTTCCCCCCAACACACACACCCACCCGCCCCCCAAAAAAGAAGGGGAATTAATCTGGGGAATAAATGCTCCCGCCCGGCTGGGGAGTGAGGGAAGGGGGAGGGAACCGGGTCAAGTCCCAAAGATTCAGCCCCAGGGGGACCCTCCTGCCACAGGCAGCAGCAGAAGCGACAGGAGTAGGGGGTGTAGAGTCCACACGGCCGGGGGGACGCTCTGCTGCCAGTTGCAGTCCGACTCCCCCCTACCAAAACACGGCTCCCTCTCTCACGCGGCTCCGGCGCTGGGCCCCCCCCAGGCTCGCCTAAACTTTCCCCCCTTCTCTTGCTCCTCAGCGACTGGTGGTTCCCCCCTCCCCCTCTGGGTGGTTGCACGGACTGCAGCAGCAAAGACTGGAACAGGCACCGCCGCCGGGGCTGTAGCTACTGTTGCTCTTGCTGATGCTGTAGCTCCCGCTGCTCCTGCCGCGGCCGCTGCAGCCGCTTCTCCCCCTCCTCCTAGTGCCTCAAACTCGGAACCGGTTGAAACCGGTTCAGACTGGGAGATTCCATCTCGGTTGAGTTTTCAGCCCATGGCGCCGCGGAGCGTTTGGAACCTGGGCCTCCGCCCCCAGCCCGCCCTCCTATTGGTCAGTTCCAGCTACAGCCGCGCCATGAGCCTATCTCTCATTGGCCTGAGCGCCAGTCAATCCCACCTCAAGGCTCCACACGAGCCCGCCGCTTCGGCCCCCGCCTCTTTTCAGCAGCGATTTGCCCGCAGAGTGGGGGAGGGGAAGTGGGGAGGGTCGAAAGGCAAGAGGAGAGGGGTGGAGGAGGAGGAGGTGGGACGAAGAGCAGGGCTGAGTAGAAAAGAGAGCGAAGGAAAGCCGCGTGGAGGATTCGTTCGAACGAGCTGTCAATCAAGTGCAGCCCGCCCTCAAGCTCTCGACTTCCCTTCCCCCTGCGGCCCTCACCCTCCCAGTGCCTAGTTCGCAGGCCCGGCCTTTCCCGCCCGCTCATTGGCTGGGCGCCTTCGGTGACGGAGAGGGTGGGGCGCAGCTCGTGAGCTAGTGGCGGCGCGAGTTTGATCGCGGCGCGCGGCGGTGTTCGATCTGCTTTCCCCGGACTCGGCCGGCCCGCCCCCACCGGCTCCCGCCAACCTGCGGGGGCCTGAGCCCGCGGGAATTAGGATCCGCCCCTCAGATGGGGGATGCGTTCGGAAAAGGGATGGCACACCCAGTTGTTTTGAACTCTCGGAGGGGTGGAGAAAGGAGGGAAAGGAACACTTCCGAGGCCAATTGTAGGCCCCAGACCTCTAATCCATTTTAGAGGCCTGGGTTGGGCCAGGTAGCTGAGAGAGAGGTTGGGGTGAGGCGCAGGGCGTGCATTCTTGGCGCCTCGTGATCTTCTCAGGGTCTCGGAAAATATATCGAAATACTTCTTGGGAAAGTCTTAAAATTTCAACTCTGCCTCCCCAGGCTGGAATTTGGCCGCTTCGACAACCAACCTTTCCTGAAAACCAAAACATTGTAATCCCAGGTGATTGGTTTGACAGCGCATGTTTTGGCTGGGTGAGCTTGCATGCCAACTGCGTCCCACCTGGTGCCCTTGATCTGCAACACTCAGATTTTCCTTTCACCCTAGCGGCACTTCACGTACTAAATCATCACCAAATAGTATTTTCTGTGAAAGTCACATGCACGTTGTCTTTCACGTGGTTGCGTCTCTTGTTTGTTCCCAAGCGTCCTCCAAATCAGCTTTACAGATTGTTTTTTGCTTAAGAGCAAATAGCTCACCAAAATTTACTAGGCCCTTTGTGCCACCAAGAGGTAGATAAATGGTTTATTGAAGTAATACAATTTTCTTTAGCAAATGTTCGTTCACGATGGACTATGACTAACTTCAAAGCACCACTTATTCTAACTCCCCCTCCAATAAAGAAAAACCCAACAACTCAATGTTTAGATGCACCAGAATGATTTTGGATGATTTTCAGACCTAAGTTTTTATTCATTACATAAATGAATAATATCAAGCCATTTTATATACATATATACATACATATATAAAGTACTATGTATGATATGTGATGTACAGTTGGCCCTCTATCCGTGGGTTCCCCGTCCTCAATTTCAACCAGCCCTGGGTGGAAAATATTTTTAAAATAATACAATAAAAATAATACAAAATAAAACGCAATGCAGTATATTTATATAGCATTTACATTGTATAAGGCATTATAAGCAATGTAGAGATGATTTAAAGTTTACATCATATAAGCTATTATAAGCAATCTAGAGACTGAAGTGTAACGGGAAGTTTACAAATACAGTATATGCAAATACAGTAAATCCTCACTTAACATGGTCATGGAGAGGATCTTGGAAACTGCCACTTTAAACACAAGGATAGGCCAAGCATGGTGGTTCATGCCTGTCATCCCAGCACTTTGGGAGGCGGAGCTCGGCAGGTCACTTGAGGTCAGGAGTTCGAGACCAGCCTGGGCAACATGGTGAAACCCCTCTCTACTGAAGATACAAAAATTAACCTGGCGTGGTGGTGGGTACTTGTAATCCCAGCTACTCGGGAGGTTAAGGCAGGAGAATGGCTGGAACCTGGGAGGCAGAGGCTGCAGTGAGCCAAGATCACGCTACTGCAGTTCAGCCTGGGCAACAGAATGGGACTCCTCAAAACAAACAACAAAAAAACCCTAGAAGGACATATAACAAAAAAACCCTAGAAGGACATATAACAAAATCAATTTTACCATAGGCCTGTAATCCCAGCATTTTGGGAGGCCAAGGTGGGAGGATCGCTTGAGCCCAGAAGTTCAAGACCAGCCTGGGCAACATGGCAAAACGTGGTCTCTACCAAAAATACAATAATTAGCTGGGCATAGTGGCATGCGCCTGTAATCTCAGCTACTCAGGAGGCTGAGGTGAAAGGATCACTTGAGCCCGAGAGTTTGAGGCTGCGTGAGCTGTGATGATGCCATCATGCCACTGTACACTCCAGCCTGGGTGACAGAGTGAGACCCTGTCTCAAAAAAAAATTACCAATCTAATGCCGGCAAAAGTATGATTGTGTATGATGCTAAAACAGGGTGAGAGAGAAAGGATCTCTCTGTTTTTTTTTTTTTTTTTTTTGGAAAAAGTGTCTCACTGTGTCTCTCCCAGGCTGAAAGGATCCTCCCTGACTCAGCCATCTGAGTAGCTGGGACTATAGACACATGCCAACATGCCTAGCTAGTTTTGTGTGTATATATATGTGTGTGTGTATTTTTTTTTTTTTTTTTTTTTTTTAGAAAAGGGGTTTCCCCATGTCACCCAGGCTGATCTCAAACTCCTGTAGGCAAGCGATCCTCCTGCTTCAGCCTCACAAAGTGCTGGGATTATAGGCCTGAGCCACCTTGCCCAGACAGGATACTCATTTCAAGAAAAACTTGACCTGGGAAGATAAAGTCTGGGTTGCACCCCTATTTCTATCAAGCTCAATTTAGTGTGGAGAATGTTTATAGAAAATTATGAATATTCTGTCAGTGAATAATCTACGTACAGTCTGTGAAGCCTCAAGTCAATCAGGAGCAGAATCAGCAGTTGCCTGCAGGTGAGTTGCTGCCTTTTGAGAACATAGTGAAAAAGTATGTGACAAGGCTGCTAAATCTAGGAGATACAGTTTGATAGTCTGAGAAATCTGTACAGTTCTTCTACGAGGTGACATTCAACAATGGATCCCAAGATTCTCTTACTCGTGGAGAAATGAGAGAAGTATATCACTTAACTTGGACCATTCTCAGACAGGACGGAGGAAGCTATAGCTGTTTTGTTTGAAGTACTTCTAGGCCAAAAATAAAAATAATGACATGGGGTTATATGTCTGCTGCAACTGTCAGTTTAGGCTGCTGTAACAAAGTCCCATAGTCTGGGTGGCTTAAACAACATTGATTTCTCACAATTCTGGAGGCTGGAAGTGTGAGGCCAGAGTGTCAGCATGGTTTAGGTTCTGGCAAAGGCCCTTTTCAGGGTTGCAGACCGGTGACTTCTTCCTATACTTTCTTGTGAAGGGGGAAAAAATGGCTAGAGAGCTTTCTGGGGTCTCTTTTATAAAAGAGCGCTAATCTCATTCATGAGGACCCCACCCTCATGATCTACTGATCTCCCAAAGGCCATATCTCCTAATACCATCACATTAGGGTTTAGGATTTCAACATAATAGTTTTCAGGGGACACAAACATTCAGTCCATTGCAATATATAAGAAGCAAAATAGAGTAGGTAAACTAAAGTTGGTACCTGTGGGTTGAAAAGATACGCCATTTCTTTCTTGCACAAAAACATCTCATTATGGGCCAGGCATGGTGGTGGCTCAGGCCTGTAATCCCAGCACTTTGGGAGGCCAAGGCGGGTGGCTCACGAGGTCAGGAGTTCAAGACCATCCTGGCCAACATGGTGAAACCCTGTCTCTACTAAAAATACAAAAATTAGCTGGGCGTGGTGGTGCGTGCCTGTAATCCCAGCTACTCGGGACGCTGAGGCAGGAGAATCGCTTGAACCAGGGAGTCAGAGGTTGCAGTAAGCTGAGATCATGCCACTGCACTGCGGCCCGGTGACGGAGTGAGACTCCGTCTCAAAAAATAATAATAATAAAATAAATTTTAAAAAAAAATGAGCTGGGTGAGGTGGCTCAGGCCTGTGATCCCAGGACTTTGGGAGGCTGAGGCGGGCAGATTACCTGAGGTCAGAAGTTTGAGACCAGCCTGGCCAACATGGTAAAATCCCATCTCTACAAAAATACAAAAAATTAGCCAGATGTGGTGGCACACACCTGTAATATCAGTGCTTTGGGAGACTGTTATGGGAGAATCACTTGAGGCCAGGAGTTCAAGACAAGCCTGGGCAACATAAATAAGACTTTGGCTCTACAAAACTAAAAAAATTAATCCAGGCATGATGACGCATACCTGTGTCTTAGCTACTCAAGAGGCTGAGGTGGGGGGATCCCCTGAGCTCAGGAGTCAGGCTACGATGAGCTATGATCAAGCCACTGCACTCCAGCCTGTGCAGCAGAGCAAGACTGTCTTTAAAAAAAAGAAAAATGGTATAGGGAGTCATGGAAAAATGTGAAAAATAAAAGAAAAAAAGAGAAAAATCAGAAAAAACCCTGTCTTATCAGGTGCTCTGACTAGAAAAAAATGAAGAATCTACAGCAAAGTCAGTGAATCTATTTCAGTAGTTCTCAAAGTGAGGGCAGTTCCCCCCCGCCCAAGACATTTAGCAATTAAGTGTTGTCTATCAAAACAACACTGTCAGCTAATGTCAGAATCAGAGCACACTACAGGTAGATCAGAAGGTGAAGTATATCAGAAGTATAATAACAGCTAACATGGAAACACTTTTGGTTCTTGCAACTGGTTGGGGAGGGGGTGCCATAGACATCTAGTGGCAGAGGCCAGGAGTGCTGTGAAACATATTGCAATGCACAGGATAGCCCCCTATATCAAAGAATGAGAAGCCTACATGTCAATATGCAGAGATTGAGAAACCCTGATCTATTTATAAATATTTTAAATTATCCTAGCCCAATAAAGGGGAGAAGAGAGAGCGAGAGAAAACGAGTACATGAGCAAGTACACTGTACCTCAACAAGGTCAGTGCTTCTTTTATTTTTATTTTTATATATTTATTTTTGAGGCAGGGGCTCTTTCTGTCACCCAGGCTGGAGTACAGTGGCATAATCACGATTCACTGAAGCCTCAACCTCCCTGGCTCCAAGTGGTCCTCCTG